AACACCAACCAGACAGATCTCTGTCAAACGTTTACTTTTAAATCTTTTCGCATACTGTATTCAAAATATCCTGCGATCTTCGGTTGCTGTCTCGCACATGTGATCCAGCCTTGATAGCGATGATTTTGACAGACGGTATTATGCGCCACAGTATGAAAGCTCGAGATTAGGTAATATAAAGCCTTAATTTGGTTTTTGGTGCAGAGTTCACACTATTTACTACTTGCATAACACACAATATGCTCACCTGTATTAGTAATGAACAGTTTTTAGTTTACTTAAACATAAAGATATGAAGACTCCTCTACTAAATATCTACGAGCACGAATGACATTATAAAATATACGAATGGACTGCCGTCGTTGAAAGAGGACGTAACTTTAACGGTCGCAGGGCACTGCTAATATTGGGTTTCTATCCCCGCATGTTGGTCACTCAGAGCGCGAAAATAAATCGACATAAAATAAGCACCAAAATCAAAAACGAAACAGTGCAAGCCGCCAAAACTAGGGATGTCGCGAACCACCCTAGGTTCGATTTCGAAAGGTTTCGATATTTGCGAAGCGAACTAAGGTTCGATTTCGAAAAATTTCGATATTTTCGTACCGACCGAGGTTCGATTTCGAAAAATTCGCAACTTTTGTCCACAGCGGAGTTTCGAATTCGAAAATTTCGAAGCTTTCACGGTTTCTAAAATTTCGAATTCGAATATTTCGAATATTTTTTTACTTCAGGTTCGATAAATTCGAAGATTTCGAAATTCTTTGTAAAAAAAAAATTCGAAAACTTCGAACGCTTCGAATTTTTATAGACATGAAGTTCGAACAATTCGAAGATTCGAATTTCTTTTGGCTTAAAGTTCGAAAAGTTCGAAAGTTTCGATTCTCTTTTAACGCTACATTCAAAAAAAAAAAAAAAAAAACTTCGAAGATTTTGAATTTTTTTCTAATCCAAGTTTTCAAAGTTTGAAGTCCGATTTTCAAGTTTTTCTACAGTTTCAGTTTCAAATAACGTTTTCACGACTCGCTTGTTTTCACAAAATCAAGTTTAGAAAAGTTAGGGTGTGATACCTAGATTCTGCGAAGTTGGTAAGGCAATTAAATGAGACGACGAGTGTCCCGGACGTGCTAGAATATTTGCCAGTGCAGAATTGTGACCGCCAGCCCCCCCCGGGGGGGGGGGGGGTCTTTGTCACGCAGTAGTGATTGCACGAAAACACTGTTTTACGAGACTCATCCAGTTCGAAACGGCCAGGGGCGAGCAGGAGGTTGAGGCTCAGAAAAACCTTGAAGCGACCTGGCAAACTAGCTCGCCACCCCTTGCACGCTGGTAGTAATCCGATCCGGTGAAGTTTATAATTGTCCTGGAGGTTTATTTTCTGGGACGGAGGAATCGCCTCGCAAAAAGCACAAAAGCCGACACAACTCGAGGTCGAGGAGCGTTCTACCATACAAGTGGCGTCGGAAGAGGAAAAACGGGGGGAAAGAGGGTAGCGGGGGGGGGGGGGGGGGGGGGGGGGGGGGGGGGCTTAAGTTTCCTTTTTTTCCTTGCAGGTATTTCGGACTGTTAAAGAAAACAATACGGGGAAAGAGGGCGTGGTCGAGCTTATTTTAATCTGAAATTATTTATGCATATGTATAGCTACTGTCGCTCTTCACTACATAAAAGGTTGCGTAGATGGTCACTGTTAGAAACTCGTTGTCAGAAGGCACTGCTCGTCACATGCTTAGTGGTTCGGAAGTTCAAAGCTGTCTTTTCGACCTAAACACCTGTGCCGATAGTAACAAAAGAAAAAAAAAAAAAAATAAATGCGGGAATAAAAAGCAGGAGAAAAAAAAAAAACTATAAAGAAGTCGTCGGAGGTGTTCTATTCGTGCATATTCAGAGGTTCAGAACTTCGAAACAAGTTTCTTTTACCAAAATGTGTACAGGCTAAAAGAAACACGTCCCAGGAACGTGATGCGAAAAAAAAAAAAGTTTTCTTTTAATGACGTGCTGAACTTGAACACTACTAGAAATCTTCTGCAATGAGTTAATTTATTCCTTAACGTGAAAAAACAATAAATATATTATTTTATATTCTGCAGATGGCAATGATATGTACTGTCTGTGGTGCTAATTTAAATGCGATACCTCAAACAACTTAGACGAAAATAAATATCAAGTTTAGGTCATAATTGCATGCAGATACATGTTTGGACATTTCTTCGAAACTCACGTTGAATAACAATAATCACATCTTAAGACGGCACTTACCTGTAGCTATACATAGATCATTCTTAAAAAAGTATAACATATCTACCATAAATAGCTCCGGCTGCAGCGTGCTTCAAATCTGGCACAAACGATAATCGTCAAAAACCCGTCGTGTCGTCCGTCCTCGCCCCTTCGGGGATTTATTTCTTTAAACCTAAGCATGCCAGAACATTGAAATAAATGACATTGTCTTTCGTAAGGAACGCAGCACCGCGTGTAAAAGTTCGAGAAAAAAAAATTACGAATGTACCCCACTCCTTGAAATCAAACGAAACCGGCCGCCGGTCTTTCGAAGTTCGACGAACGTCGAACTTTTACCCTAAAAGTTCGAAGTTCGTCGAACTTCTGACTTTTCAGAATTCGAAAGTTCGAAACTTTTCGAATTTTCTTGATAAATAAGTTCGAAAGTTCGAAATTCATCGAATTTTTTGGTCAGTCAAGGTCGAAAGTTCGACAAGCATCGAACCTTGCAGCGCAATAAGTTCGAAAGTTCGAAAAAGATCGAATTTTTTAGCGTAATAAGTTCGACGGTTCGAAAAGCGTCGAACTTCTTAGCTTAACAAGTTCGAAAATTCGATTTCCGTCGAATTTTACGATATAGACAATTCGAAAAATCGATATCTTTCGAACCTTTCGAACCGCTTGATTCGATCATCGAAACTTCGATTCGAAAAAAGTTCGCGGCATCCCTAGCCAAAACAGAGTTCCGGTGGCGAGGTTAGCGCACGCACTAACCAGGGGGCGGTGCCCTAAGCCACCAACATACTTTCTCCCGCGACGGTTGTCTTTTCAAAACAGCAGTGACACCAGGAAATGGTTTCGCGGGTAGCAACGATTGGCTGGGTGCCTCCTCCGGATAACGGCGGGTCATTACCCCGAGCACTGTCTCTCCCCGTCATTCCGTCCACCCTCTCACCCCTCAAGCTCACTCGCGTATAGTTTACTTAATGTCCAAATTACCTCCGGACAAAAGAGCTTTGAAGACAGGTAGTTGTACGATACACTCTGATAACAGTCCCCGCACGCACTGTGGACTGAGTTTCTTTTGTTCTTGTTTTGTTGGCAGCCTTGGAGAGTGCCGGGCGTAACGGGAACTCCCGTAATCCCACGCCGGGACTCCGTCAACTCAATTACAACACTCGCTCGTTCGTCGTTACTCTGCTTTCCCACAGCTTTCCGCGTTCCTGACGCAAGATTGCGCGCGTTTGTCTAGCGCGTAACTTGTGTCCAGCCGCGTGTATCAAAGTATATCTACACATAAAAAACCAAAGCGAATGATAACAGGACGGGTACTAACAATGCCCCAAAGTGCCTAGTGCCTACGTGAGAGATTCGTTGTCTAACGCCGGAAAGCGTAAATTTAGATCCGTCTTCCGGCGTGACGGTGAAAATCAGAAGATACAAAGACTTAAAGGCACTGTACTAACTCGCCGTACCTTTTCAGCAAACAGCAGACTCGACGTCTTTGGATGTAAAAATTTCTTATAGTCACTTTGCCTTTTCCGGAATAAAAATATTCCTCTAAACGAAGCTATACAAGGTCCAACTTTTTTTGTTTTTTATCCACCCTTTTACTTGATACAGGGAAAAAATAATATCAGATATAAATATATATATATTTTCACAAATCTACACTCCAGAGCGCGAGTGCTTTTTGCTTTGGAAAGCGAGCAAAGGACTCCCCACGAACTGTATAAAATGGTTGCAGGGCGCCTCCTTTAAACGCCCGAACTCCAAAACGCGGTGGTTGCCTTTCGTTGTGCTTTGTCTGTGCATGCACGCTCGAAGCTCACGATAGGCCAAAGAGTTATTGAAGATAGGTAACTCTCGCTAAAAACGTAAAAAAAAAAAATTCCTTGTCGTTCTTATTCTGTCTGTGACTATAACTATATTCTCTGAAGTGCTAGTCCTCCCGAGCGACAAGCAGCAACGACCGACACCGACGAACCTCAGGGACGTGTAACATGCAGACGAAGGTATCTCGGCAACCTTGCAATCACTCCTACTGCCTTCACGAGCACCGAAAGATCGCAAACCTGCCAAAGAGATACCGATACCTTCGCATGCATACTGCACATGCTTGAAGTTGGAATGGTCAGCGTCAGTCGTTGCCGTTTGTCGCTCAAGTGGGACAAGAATGCGCCTTTTTGATTTGTAGAGTCGGTACTTCCCAATTTCTATGATTATTTTGCGTCCATAGATGCATGAACTATAGGAGAGATGGGAATAAACAAAGTTCAGGAAGGCACGCGCTCTATAGATAGGCATGCACATCCGTGGGAAGTGCCGTGCTTGCAAGACGCGAAAGCTAGTTCACGAGTAAATACACTGCAAATGGATAATGTCAACGACGACATGTCTACAGATATAGGCAAGTGTGAAGCTCACGTTATGACTCTGACCACAATCGCTCATATTCGGGTCTGCGAGCAGGTAATAATGCGGCTGAATACTTGGTGTCTGACGGCGGATGATGCAGAGTGCTAGCGCGTGGCTCCGACCGTTATGCAGGGGAGGAAAATTATTTGACTCTCTCGCGGCATTATGCAAGCACATGGACCATCAGTGATTATTCAGACACACGTGGTGCACACGTCTTCTAAGACAGCGGTGATGAATTTACATTTCCCGTCGCTTGACACGGTATAGCCCGAGGAATGAATACCCTTTACGATAGCAATAATGTTTTCACGAAATCAAAAGCGTACAAGAAAGAAAAAAAAATAAGAAAAAAAAACACTCACCCTGAGTCCTCTGTGGTGCGCCTCCGAGCCACCGGATACTTGGGACACAAACACACCGGTGCCATGCTCACGGCCTGCGAGGAAGACACAACCGCACTCAAGACACATTCCACGCCATCTGGCAGGCCTCCCGACCCAGATATCCTACCTCGCTCCACCTCACCAAACTACAGGGGGGCGAGAACCAAAAGAAAGTCGGGGAACGAAACGACCCATGCGGAAACTATACGTATCTACAGAAACGGGCCAAAGTAAGACTTATCTTTCCGTGAAGTGTATACATACGTAGGATCGGGCGCCGATTCCGAGACCTCCAGCGCCGCGTTTAGTTCGATCCGGTCGGCCAGAAGGATGTTTGAAACGCCGAACCACGTCCGTTATCTCAGTGTATCACGAAGTTGAAGTGTATAAAACAAAGCGCGCCCAAACTCGTTTTAAGACCCGGTAGAAAAGTGGCGCCTGGAGTGGCTCGTTCCCCCGTCATCCTGCCCTTGAGGAAGGTCACGGACTAATCTGATCATCTCTTTCTCTCTCTGTCTCGTTTTCTTTTTCCGTGCGTCGCGGAACCCCGTCTTCTTCGGGACTTTTTACGGGAAACTTTCACCCAGGAAGTCTCCGATCCTGGAAGAGGAAATTTGTCGAAAACCGTATAGATACGATTATGTGGTGTGGGAAAGGCCTCGACGGGACAAGCGTACGAGTGTATCAGATACTCAAGGGCGCCTCCACCCTTTTTTTGCCACCCAGTTTAGGCAAACTACGCATTGCGGAGAGCTCAGAATCCACCCAAATGCAACAGCGCTACGCGATCACGACCCACTAAAACCGGGATCACACCGCTATCACAAGAGGCAGTCTGTAAACACTGAATGAGGCGCGTTTCTTCATTGTACGACAGTCCATTGGTCATACAAGAAAAAAAAAAACAATCTGACAGGCATGTGTCACCGAAATATCCGTGGTTCGAACGCCGCTCGCCAAATTTCTGTTTTGAACATTGCCATGCAGCATTCAAAGCACGGATCTCGCGTTCGAATCTGTATATAGGCTGTCTATTGAATGATGCATAAGCAGCGTGACTCCGGCTTAATCTTCCTACCGGATTGTAGAATAGTATTCGTGTTGGATTACGAACGTTGGTAAGCAACCGCGCTTGAAAAATTACTTTGACAGCAGTGTGTAAAAAAAAAAATGTTCTGTTTGAGCACACTGACTGGCAACCAGGAGCAAGCAATGCTCGGCTATCGGACGATTCTTTCATCAGCAGCAAGATGGCCACTCCTAGATGTCGCACTTACATGGAATCGTGCATGGTCTGCCATTTTTGTCTGGCTCTACACGTTTGCAAGAAGCGACGCTTCAAAAGTTATAGTCTGGCCATAGTGGATGGATAACGCTTACCTGCTGCAACGGTCCGGCAACCGTGGGCACTCCTTAGCAGAGCTTGGTTATCAAAAATACACACGCGTCAAGAGCAAGATGGCGGGTCCCATACGCCGTGCTTGCAGTCGTGTATAGCTTTTGAAGCGTGGATAACTTACAAAGGTGCCAGACGACGCTACAGTGTCGTCTGGGATAGTGTATTTCCGGACTAGTGCACACTAGGTTTCAGAGGTATGTCTCACCTCCACGTATGGAGAAGCCCAGCGGAGCAGCGCCCCGACGCTTGAGTTGCACCAGACGAATCTTGTTGGGGAGGTAGGTCTGTTCCGAGGGATCGTCGCTGCCGTTGCTCGCTCGAATCAGCTGAGGGCTGCGTGGAAAGAAGACGCCAAATGAACTGTCGAAACGTGAAGGGGCATCTCGGAAACTCGGCGACGCGGTACTCGACATCACAAATAATAACCTTTATTACACCTGTCTACAGACAGCTCATGGCAAATAAATAGCGACTCTACAAGACGCACATATATTCAAAAATTACTATGCAAGTAATATGCCTTCGAGATTACGGCTAAATTTTGTCACATTACAAAATATTTCTATGTGGTCACAATCATGCTTGTCTTATTCAAGTCGCATTCTTATATTAGGAGATGTAACAAAAAGCGCATTTATTTATTTATTTGTTTCAGTCCTCCCTCAGCGCCAGAGGAATTATTGCAGTAGGTGTGTGTGTAAAGGGGGGGGGGGGGGGGAGGGGGGGGAGGGGGTTCATTTTCGCGAAACCAGTAATATAGTAGGGTAATGTGGTAATAAAAAAACTATCTGGTAATGAACATTGGCTGGTTAAGGAACGCGCTGTAAAAAGCTAGACGCAGGACGACACACGCAAAACGTAACACGTGTCTTTACATTTTTTTTAAAAATAAATTTCTCCATTTTTATATTGACACATACAGGTTAAGAATTCAGTAGCTGCTCCGTCTTCAGCGCGAGCTTTCTGTACTTCATCGCAAACGCCGCCGAAGTACTTCGGAAGTCAAGAAGCGCGTGCTGATGGCGGAGCGTCTTAGGAAATTTTCAGCCTGTCCGACTACCAATAGAAAATAGCAGGTAAAGTAATTAAAAAAAATAGCTTCATGTTTGGTCATTTTCGTGAACACGTTTAAACGCGGTAGCTTTATTCGCAACTCCAACTCCCTGTAGATGGCGGGGCAGTGGTCCCAAAATGGCGGAAGAGGTGGGGATAGATTCTCTAGGATTTCCCGTGCGCCTGCTCGCTGACGCTGTTCAGTGTGCTAAAATTAATTTATTTGGCTATAAATACGAAACAGTCATGGCAGAAGCATATCACAGGTGACGGAGATGTTGACGTGAGTTAAGAAAATGGGCATACTGATTTATAAAAGTTGCGAGGCGGAAAACAACAATTCCTATTTGAACGCTCGCTCTCGCTTTTTCCGTTAGATCTGTATATATGCTGCACGAACATGTCGACCAGAATGATGCGGAAACAGCAGCATCAAGGCTGACAGTCCCTGCCACCGTCTCTGTCGCCTTCCCCGCTCCTCTGGTTCTTCGTTCTTCCGCGAGAGGGCGAGCGGAGGGCTGGAGTTGCGAATAGGATGAGTGGTGTTCTTAGTTCGGGTGGTGCATAGGTCAGGATGACCCTTAGTTTTTCAGTGCCTGAAATGGGTGGTTCATTCAGTTCAGGTGGTGCTTAGGCCAGGGTTTTGTATGGAAACAAATTACGTCGCATCATTGTCGCTTTGTGCCGCCGCGTGCGCTTTCCTTCAGCACCACCCGGGTACAAAGACTTTGCGGTGAATTTTTCGGGTCACCAAAGGAAGGGAATCGCGCATTCCTGCCCTTTGTGCACTCCTCGTTTTGTGCGCTCTTTCTACACCACCTGTTTCTGCTCCACTCTTGTCCACTCCGTTCCGCGCGCTTTCTCGCACCACCTGCTTCTGCTCCTCCCTTTCCTGCCTGTTGGGTCCGTTGCTCAGTCAGCAGCGCATACGGCTTCCACGACGATGAACAGGTTTCAATCCCTGCACCAGTTGCCGTTTCTCCCCATTTTTTTCAACATTATTTAGCGGTTTTGGGTCATCAAGAGATGGAAAGCAATGCTTTCCTGCCCTTTCCACTCCTCGTTCTGCGCGCTCTTTCTACACCACCTGCTTTTGCTCCTCTTTCTTACCCCTGAGGTTGGTTGGCCCTGTAAAGCTACCGCTTTAATAGCTGGTTAAGTAACGCACTGTAAAACAAGACAGAGAAACACACACAGAGCGTTGCAAGAGTGTTGTCGTCTCGTTTCCTCATGCTTACATAGACACTGAGCGAAGGCATGGCGCCTTGCGTAAAAACGCAATTCCCTATACCAATGACAGTCCTAAATGCCTTAGAAGCTAATATCTTTACGACCCACGCGTTTTTCCAGCGTTGGTATGCGTAACGTCAAGCGCTCAAACACACACAAAACAAACAAAGCACACGTATTTCACGGAATGACAGAGTTGTCGCAATCCTCCGCGATGGGTTCTCGGTAATCAACCCGGGTGGTTACGACGAATATGTAGGATGGGGCGAAGCAACGCTAGTTCTCCCGAACGCACATATATCTTGGTACCGCCTATTTCCTTTCTCAATCACTAAGAGTATAAATAAAGCACCGTTTTTTTTGTTTTTTTTTTCTGCCGAGATTGAGGTTAGTAGGCGTTTCTGGTTGTACGTGGATATGGGTGGGGAAAAAAATAGGTGCTGAAGTTTCTTGGTAGCAAGGATCCCAAGAGAAGGTTTCTTGGTACACGTCTTTTTTCTTGTAATTGTTAACCGTGATATAGTTTCGAAAGTTGCGAGCGAACAGTAGGTTATATATACAAAACGACACACGACATCATTACAAATATGCTGAGGCGAGGTTTTCGTTTAAAACTTCTGCGTATTCGAAAGCACGATCGTGAGGATCATAACCTGGATGGCTAGGCTTGACATTTACATGTACGTTTTAAAAAGCCCGGAAGTGGCGTAATGGCGTTTGATCGGTGGAGGCCATTGACTCCACCAATCAGACGCCACTACGCCATTTCCGTGACCTTTTGAAACGTACATGTAAATATCCAACCTAACCATCACTCGACGCGTTAATGAGTAATTTATTTTATTATACTACGCGTAGTGGTGAATGCATGATCGTGTCGGCGTGCGGTTGTTTGATTCACGTTGAAAATCTCAGGTTAGCTGCCATACACCAAACGCCGCCTTAAAAAAAAAAGTTTTATGTTGTTAAATTTATTTGTAAAACATCTTGTTTTTTTAATGCATGAAAAACAAGTAGAGAATATGAAAGCAAACAAAGGAAAAACATCTAGAATAAAGAAAGAAACAAACAAACGAAGGTGCACGCTTTTGGGCAGGAGCTCGGTCTGAATAGAAAGCCAAAAAAGTAATGCGTTTCTGTTGCAATGTAGTTGAAACACAAGTAAAATGGCGTCATAATTTCTGCATTCCCGTTTGTTTCAAAGTATATAAGAGATTGCCCGTCCCTCCCTCCAAACCCGAGCTATAGCCAACCACCGAACGACCGACGCCGTTTCGTACACAACACCGCGCACAGTTTGCAGCCGTCGAAGGTGATTACCGTTTATTACGGCGATCGAACCACGGAAGAGGCGCGCGCGCGTGACTCGTTTAATCGTTTCCAGATCGATGTCGTGGCATAGCCTTCCCTCCGATGTCGTGACGGAACACGAGACCTCGATCCTGCGCCAAGGATTGCCGGCCAATTAAGACAGCGGAAGAGTATATATGTTCTTCGCCTCGACCCGTCGCCGCTTTGGAAACTCGCTACAATGTTTACCAACGTGCAAATGGACATAGACAACGAATATTCCTCTAGCGACGCGACGTCTGCTCTGCCGCCTCCTTTTCTTTTCTTTTTTCTTTTTTCGCGAACATTCGAAGAAAGTTGCAGCATCGAAGAAAGGTGATTCGGTTCTCGCATCTGCCTCGCATCACGACCCAAAGGCGTGGCTCAAACATTCCGTGTTTTTAATGCGAAAGCATTAAATGGGGGTCTCATGGAGCGAGCTGACGTCATCAGTTGGAAGCGCGAAAACGGCAGGAATGTTTTCGCGCGCCTTCGGTTCCATTGGCTTGCACGCGTCGACGGGGCTCCCAATGGCCGCTGCGCCATGGCCTCCGAGATCCCGAAATGTGCGCGCGCTAGTACGCAGCAGACGATAAAGGGAGCGGACGAGCGGCTTGCATGCTTTCGGATTCACAACTCATAAGAAATGCTTAGCCATACCTCGAGCCTTTTTTTTCTTTTTTTTTTTCTTTTTTTCTTTCGAAGGCGAATAGTTCTTTTGTTTTACGGACACTGACAGCTTAGCAACGTAGGGAGTGGCGAATCTAGAGCACCTAATTATCGCCCCACAAACCAATCAGACCACAGCAAAGCGCCGAAGAACCAATCATGAAGCAAGAAGCGTGAACGTAAGAAGCCATGCCCTGCGTTTCTTAAGTCCTCGGTGACTACAGACGTTTGCAAGTACGGCCTCTGAGCGCCGCCATCTTGCTGGTGGTGTGGGTATAGATCGTCTGATTGTCAAGCATTGCTGAGGTCATGGGTCAGCAATGCTTGACTGTCAGGCGATCTACCCACATTAGCGGCAAGATGGCGGCGCCCAGAGGCCGGACTTGCAAACGTAGGGGGACTAAGGTGGGTGGCAAGTGTGCGGACGACGAACATCCGGTATAGGGCATAAGAAATGCACGGCCAGCATTTTTGCTCTATCTTTTTTTTTTATATTTTACCATTTCTGACTCGAGCTCTGTACAAAATAGACATAAAACGTCTTGCAAAATCGCGTGCCCAATTTCAGGCGTGTACGTTTTTAATCCTTATTTTGCAAGGCGTGCCAAATGTCTTAGTCCTTACGGCCCTGCACCCTGTACCATCTTTTTCGTGTCATAACTTACTTATTCTCGATAATTGTCATCAACACGCTGCGTAATTTTACAAAACGATCGACGTGATGGGTTCGCCATAACTCCTTCAAAGATAAAACGCTAGCCTGTTCTAAATAATAATAATAATAATAATAAAACATTTGCGCTACAGTTTTTGACAGCGTAAAAGCCGAAGGGTGCGGAGAGTATTTATCGCTCCGCTACCAATGAAATTGTGGCGTTAGCCGGTGACAATGCGGAAGGAGCACTTACGAAGCGAGAAGCGCGAATAAGCCGCACCTTGGGCTTCCAAAGTGTTGTCAGTAAACATAGACCTTTCTTCAAATACCCGGATTCCAACATAATTGTATCACTGTTGCCTCTCTCAAGTGTGTAACACATTCTATTGCGCCTCCT